GGTATTAGAGAAATAAACAAAATTCTGACGTTTTTGTAAACCACAATGGTCATTATCTAATAATACAAACTTATAAACCGTTAAAATGAAATGTGATTACCAAATGGTCTTTGGCCTAATGGTATGTGAGTCTTTAGTCTCTTAGGAAGTCAGAGGTTCAAACCTTACAAATGTTAATGATGATGTGTGAGTTTATTTATTATATCTATCATATATAAATATTATATACTTAAAAAAGAGACATATTTAAAAAATATTCTTTTAAAAGTTTGTAGTATGAAAAACATTTATTTCATTAAACATTCAATTCAATTAGCATCATATTAATATTAATATTGGATATTAAAATACACATTTTCTCAAACCATTGACAAGTCAAACAAGATATTGAAAAAGGCAAGATACATTCAAATGTTAGTTAAGAAAGTTAGGTGGGGTGATAAGATACTTCCGGAATTCATACCATTTTTCTTGGAACTTTCATTAAATTCAAACAAAGCCACCAACATATTATTTTACTATTAGAATATTATTTGTATAATGTAATGAGATACATTTCGATTTTATTGTTTTGTTTTATGTTTTTTGTCTCAATCGATGTTATAATACGGTTTTATGTGGTTTTGAGAAAACGATAATGTTTTTATTTTTATAAATTTAAAGATGTCATAAACAATAGGAAAAAAATATTGATATTTGTACCAAACTAACTATTTAAATTTTTTTGTTTATTTCTTTAATACATTCTTTTTATTTTTAATTTAATAATATAATTTTAATAATGATAATAATTAAGTATTTTGTTAGAATTCAATGACTATCCTAATTATTTATTAGATTTTTTATATTTAAAATGAGACGTTTATCTTCTATTTGATTATGTTTATCTGGAGTTAGTTACACGATATCAAACATAAAGTTTTAGCAAGTTGTATTTACGCACAGTTTACTTGTAATCTTGAATTTTAAGTAATATGCATCAATAAATAGTACTTAATGCATAAAAATTAGTTTTTAAGATTTTATGTCAAATGTTTTATAATATAGTATAGATATTATTATTGTTGTTTGGATAAAAAATTAATTATCTGTTACCGTAACCGGTTCCGTATGAAACCCGTCTTCAAGGACACCAATATGAGAGAATATTCTTCTGAGTCACCCATGTATTTTCAAGTCTTTCCTTACGAATGAAAAGAAGGGAAAAGAAAAGAAAAAATCGTGTATTCTCGAGCTTTTTTTTAGCAGGGAATGAAAAGAAAATAATGTCGATTTTACTTTCAAAAAGAAAAGAAAGGAAATAATTTATAACAATTAAAAAATATTTATGAAATTACATATTTATCCATCAGTTACATTTTATCTATAAAATAAATAAGGGTGTCTTTATAAAAACGACATATTTCCATGCTCTTTCGCTCAATAACGTGAATTTTTTTTCCGTTCTTTTCTTTCTTTCTCTTCACTTTCAAGAACATAAATAATTTTTTTCTCTATTTTTTCATTTCTTTCCCAGACTCGAGAACTGTCAACGACTAAGACTAACAAGCGGTCTAAGATTAAACCCAAGACATGTCTTGTATTTGGACAAAGTTACATTCACCTTTTTACCGACTGAACTACACTCAAAGGCATTATTATTAGTAATATACAATATATTTATTTTTATAGAAGTATCACATCATATTACATCTAGGGTTGTAAACGAACCGAACGAACACGAACAGAGGCTTGTTCATGTTCGTTTGTTTACCTTAACCGAATGAACACGAACGGTAAAAGAACGAAAAATTTTGTGTTCGTGTTCGTTGTTTAAAAATCAGGTGTGTTCGTGTTCGTTTATGTTTGTGCGTTAACATGCTAAACAAACATAGACGAACAAGCTAAACGAACGAGCTAAACGAACGAGCTAAACGAACGAACTAAACGAACATAAATAAATATTATTTGAATTCACAATAAATTAATAAAAGATTATATATTAAATTTAGTATATAAACGAACAAACGTAACAAATGGTAAATAAACGAACGTTCACGAACATAAACGAACGAACGAGACTCTTGTTCATGTTCATTCGTTTAACTAAACGAACAAAAAAATTTGTTCATATTCGTTCATTTATTGAATAAACGAACTTCTTACAAGAACAGTTCCCTGAACGTTCTGTTTATTTAGAGCCCTAATTACATCAACAACTCATAAGTTTCTTGTTTTTATAGATATATTTCCACTGTTTATATATAGTTAAAAGCTAATTATTTTGTTTTGGATGAATAAATTTATCCTCTATTTATTATATAAAATTTGCAAAAGAAACCCACATTATATAATAAAAACTCATGTTATATGATAAAAATAGGGTATTATATCAAAATCAATAAATTATTAAATATTGTATATCAATTATTTATTTATTTATGAACTGGTCCAGGTTTTGAAACGATCGTCACTTTCATGATTACGATAGCTATTCTGTTTGGAGCGTTCTACGGGAGGATGAACCTTCAAATTGTATATAAAATTGTCGATTTAGAGGTTAAATGTTGGAGATTTTATAAAAATCTTTACGGTAGAATGAAAGTTATTGTCTAGTCGCAGATTATAATAAGAACCCATGTTTTTGTCTACATCCCTTTTCTTATTACTGTTTTAATTGTTTATTGACCATTTTATTTTGTTTTAATAAATCTATAAAACATATGACTTAAATTTGGTACACTTTTTTAATCTAATTATTATAAAATAGTAGAAGGGTACTCGCGCAATACATCGAGATAAATCTCGATTTTAATGTTTAGTTTTTATTCTTTGTCTCTATCGATATAATACTATTTTATGTGGTTTTGAGAAAACGGTAATGTTTTTATTGTTGAATTAAAATATAAATTTGAAATAACATAAAATTTTATAAAAAAAATAAATCGATAATAGTATCAAATTAACTTTTTAATAATTCTCGTTTTTTTGGTGTAACTTCTTTAATTCAATTTTTTATTATAATTTAATTTAGATTTAATAACAAAATAAATAAGAATAATAATTAAACATTCTGTTAGAACTCAATAATTATCTTAATTATATTTTAGATTTTTTATATTTAAAATGAATGTTTATCTTGTATATGATTATGTTTATCTACAGTTAATTACACGAATTTAAAAATGAAGTTAAAATAAGTTGTACTTACGCAAAATTACTTGTAATCTTAAATTTTAAGTAATATGCATCAATAAACAGTACTTCAAGTATAAAAATGATTTTTAAGAGTTTTTGTTAAATGATTTATAATATAGTATAGATATAAATTAATTTTGTTTTATTTTTTCATTCCTTGTATTTTTTTTTATAATTTCCTTATATATCTATATATATTAAATTTATATGATAGTCTATAGATAAAGTTACATTTTATAAATATAAATAAAAAATGATGTTTTTGTAAGAACCTCTGTTATAAAATTTTATTGAGATTTTTATTTTGTTGATATGATAACGCTGTGACTTTTAAAAAAATATAGAAAATGAGGTTTTTATAGGTTTCACCACTGTGTATGCTCATAAACCTTCAAATGGTAAAATTGTTTAAAAAAGAATATATCGTTACAAAAAATGAATAATTCAGGTAAAATTAATTACAAAATTGTGTATGCATAGAAATATTTGTATTACGATATATTGTAAATAGCTGATAAGCTAAGTATTGTTTGATAAGCTAGGCTATTAGCTAAAAAAATAACCGTTGATTGACAAACTAGTTTATAAAGTAGTTACATTTCATAAAAACTAGCTGATAAATAAAATGATTATTTAAAATAACATGTGAATAAATTACTCAATTTTAACACGAAATGTACAATGGAAAAAGATTTTTTTTATTAACTTGGATGTCCAACCCGTTATGCGAGCCGACTAATCTTAGGACAACCACCTGCTTTGCACATAGCTTGGAGTCACCACATTCGAACCTCCGTGGCCACATGGGGCTTTTTATTTTTCCTTGAATTTGAACCTGAGACCTCCTGGTACTTTTGACCTTTGGAGCCAAACTCAAACTAATCAGGCACCACTATTGTGGTTGAAAAAGAAAATCTTTAGGATCTTATTGAAAAGGTATCTGAAATAATTTTCTAAAAAATGAATTTATAATTTTATCAAACAACGATCTTTTAATATATTTGAACATGAACATGAATATGGTCTTAGAATATCTCCAGCAACCATACTAAATTCGAAAATTTTAATAGGAATTTTTTGCTTTAAAAACATGCTAAATGAATATTAAAATAGATAAAAAAAAAAGAAATACGACATAAATCTCTAAATTTGAAGAAATTCCTAAAATTCTATAAAAAATAGAGAAATGATATTTAGGGGATGTTTGAAGTTGCTGAATGATTAAGTGGTTAGAATGATTAAGAGGCTCTTATGACATAGTGCAAAATGAAATATAATTGTTTGGTAATTGTTTACAATGAAATCAGGGCGCTGAATGGTAAAGGGAGGTCTATGATACAAAATCATTCAGGAGGTTTTAGAATCATTAAGAGGCAGACTTATTTTTTGCCAAACAAGATTTACCTCTTAATGATTCAGAAGTTGTCTCTTAACGAAACTTTTGAGGGTTTGGATAAATAGTTTTTACTGATGTCAAACCAATGATAGAAAAAATTTTAAAAAAATTAAATCATTCTAACTTATAACAAACTAATAAAAACTTTTATAACAAAATATAACTTAGTTTCAAACAATTCCAAAAACCCCGGATGAAAATATGAATATGGTATCTTTGTTGTATTTCCAATAGATACAGCGCTTTTGTCATATAACCATAAGATCTATTTCTACCCCCATTGGTCCGTCTTTCTATCTCTTCCTTTTAATATTATCCCCCCCCCCCCCCCCCCCCCCCCC